CGATGTCTTGGAACATCTCCACACTAAAAAGAGCATTATGGTACTAAGACCGTAATGATATCCAACTTCATTACGGTCTTCTTATTACCTTAAAGCATTTAAAGAACATTACGTTACTAACAATACCGCAATACTCATTACAGTACTTTTAATACCATAATGTTTTTTACGATAGAATGTAAATGGTAGTTTGGTCCAAAAAAAGCCAAAATTCGTGAAAGAAGGTGTGGGTGAGGTTTTGGAAAGTTTGGGTTATTTTTCCAATTTCCTTAAAATATAGGTATATTAGCGATAATTTTTCAAATTTTTATTATGATTGTAGTAGAAAATTGTCCTCGTACACCTGTTAAAATCAATTTAGATTTTCCTTTTTATATCCCCTACTTTCACTTTCTATTTACCTTAATAAGTATACAATACAGCATATACTTGAGAGAGTGAAATGTTTTTTTAAGTGGGGATAGGGCAGAGACGCATTCGAAACATTTCCATAAATTACCCATCAACCTCGTGATAGATAGATTTCCAAAAATTACCTGTCAACCTCGTAATAGATAGATTTTTCAAAAATTACCTGTCAACCTCGTAATAGATTTTTTACCTCACAGCGCGTAATAGATTTTTTTTTTTGTTATTTTTTGGGAAATCTAGTAATAGATTTTTTACCTCCGCATAATAGATTTTTTTTTTGTTATTTTTTGGAAATCTCAGGTAATTTCTTTCTATTTCCTTCTTATAAGATTTCGTTATTTTTTTGAGAAATCTCAGTTAATCTCGTTAATCTATTTTCATTTTCTTATTACTAAAGTATATCAAACAGTGTAAATGTCATATTTCATTTATAACCTATTATTACGTAATAGATTTCTACCCAATCGGCCCAATTAATCTATTATCACGTAATAGATTTCCACCCAAACGGCCCATATTCCACTTGTGAAGGTCCCAATAAAGCTATGAAATTAGCAAACGAGGGAACAAGAAGAGACCACGAAGTAATGCAAAAGGCCGCCATTAAGAGTTTTCATATTCTATTCGTGCACTTCCTCTCTTTAGGGTTGACAAAATGTAACATTAGGTCTCACAATTTATTTTGAGGTCTGCAACTCTAAAAACATTCATATTTCTATCAACTTTCACTGTTTTTTTTTTTGCCCAAAAGTATTATTTATTAAAGCAATGGAAAATTGTTTCATGGGGCTGGACCGCATTTTTACATATGCGGTCCAAAAAGGGTAAAGCATTTATATTAAAGATGGGTGCAAGTAAGTGTTAAATTTAAAAACAATGGAAACTAACGGTCCAAATGTTTTTTTACTAGAATTATTATTTTTAATTTTCAAAATTTATTTATTTATTCATATTCATGATCTCCATGTTGGAGATTACATATCCTTAAAAATTAAATCTTAAAATCCATCTCAAAAATAAATTTATCAAGAGGGCCGTATTTCTACATATGCAGGCTTGGCCGCATAGGAACAAGTCCAAAAGCAATATATCGATTTCAAGGTCTAATGCAAAGCCAACCACGTATTGTACCTTCAAATAGGCCAAAAATTTGGACATGCATGCAGTGCTAGTAATTGGCTGTACGGCCCAATCCGGACTTAAAAAGAAAAAGTAGGGCCTCGGCCACAAACTGTGGCCCCACAACCAGGCTATGACCCAACATACCTCGGCTCTAATTGGGGCAAGGATGGCTCTATGGGGACAAGGGACAGGCCCGATCCAAGCCCGGCTCATTGCCACCCCTACATGAATGGGTCTTGAAAACCGAAGAGCAAACCTAATCACCAGTTCTATAAACACCTGGTTTGTTTGGATTTTTTGAATTGATTATGTACTGTTTCAATAAAACTAATGTTGATAATGAATTATATGTTTTTTGACGGCATTCGTCAAAAAATTATCTTAGATAAACTTTTAGCAATTGAGTGCGTATACTATGCTCCCTCAAAGTAATTTATTTCACATATAAGTTTATCTTTTTGAAAAGCCATTTTGGTTTCATCTAAAGTAATTTGCTAAAAATGGCATGTTCTTATCTAGAAATCACTAAATATAGATATAAATATCAAATAAATAAAAAATATTATATACAATAAAAAAATATGTACCAAACAACTAATAAAAAGGATTACACAAAGCATAATAATTTCAGATAAGATAGCCTATTAGAAAAAACAAAACTGTAATTCAGACCTGCCCCAACTTTATGGCAATTATATTTTAAAGAATTATCGCTTACTGTCATAAAATTTTGTCAATATTTTTAGTATTAAATTTTTCATAATATTAATGTTATAAAAAAAAAGAGAGAATTAAATGGATTGCATGCTTCTATGGGAATCGATTGTATACTTCTTGGCTCGGGCGAAATATCTACTTTGTAAGATTTTTTTTTATTTGAAATTTTGCAAAATATCTTCGATTCATTAGAGGAACAATTTCAACAATGGGGAGATTTTGAATCCTTAAAACTAAAGTTTTAACTTATGTGAGACTTTTTTAAACAACAAATATTTCTAAGGAAATTTTCTATAAAGTTTCCATCATCATCATATGGAGTTGAGCTATAGGCCATTAAAGATTATCCGGAAATATTTCAATAAAAAAAGTCCCCAGGTTCTTAGGGGTGGCAACGGCTCGGGTTTGGTTGGATCCAGACCAAGACTCGAATAGTACTGAGTCCAGGTTTTGGACCTAAACCTGATCCATCAAGTTTAAAAGTTAGACCCATACCCATATCCATCGGGTCTTGGGTTTGGTTGGGTTCATTGTCACCCTCACTATGAGGTTTTGTTTATTTTTTTAATTTATTTATCCGTTATTACTATCATATACCCATATTATTGGCAACAAGGTCACAAACACCTGCCATTAATAGCTAAAAATGACTACGAGTTCTTATTGTATACTATTGTTAATAACCTCAAACGAATATGGCCTAAAATATTTTTTCTTCAATAGTTTACGAGCATGGGTCGGGTCCAACCAGACCAGGTTTTGGACTACACCAAACCCTCCGGGTCCTCCCATACCTGAACCCGTGTTGGGTATACCCGGCAGGTCCAGGTCCATTGCCACCCCTATGTGCTATAGGTAGTTGGGTTGATCTCCTAAAACGCGCCCAAAGCTCGCAACAGGCTAGGTCATACCTAGGCCAATGTCACGACTGAGTGAGGCTAGCCCATCCAAGTATGTGCTAGGGGTGGCAACAGATCAAGTCCGACCTGGACCAAAATTAACTGGACTGGGGCCTGGTCCTAAATCCAAAAATATAGCGTGGGACTCGGACACAGACCCGACGACCCCGCCAGGTCCAATTTTTGGACCCATACCCGTACCCAAATCGGGTCTACCCCTCATATACACGTATGTGCCAAGGCCGGGGAAGGGGTAGGGCCCTTTTGGCGGAGTCCAAGTATTGCGGACCATGCCCATAGGGGCCCAGCTGCACCGACTCAAGGCTGGCCCAGCGTATTCGCCAGCCTTACGTTTTGTATTGGTACATGATTTCTGGTACGTCGGTGCACCTTAGATTTCCTCTTTATGAGTGAGAAGGAGAAAATACTCATCTCCCTTCTTTCTTGAAAGAACTGCTCTCTCTCTCTCTAGATTGGGATGTCGGCACAGAGAGAGAAAGAGAGATAGGGAATGACTACAAAGGCCATGGATTCAGTGGAGCTTGCTTAACACGTGTGAACGAAATCGTTGGGGGGTCCCTCAGTCTCACATGCATTGTAAAGGAGATCAAATGTCTAGATACAGAGAGAGAGAGAGAGAAGAATAAGTTGGAAATGTATTCTCAAATATCTTTCTTTTTATGTCTTGATATCGAAATTGAAGTTAGGTGAATTATCCATCGACATCATCATCAAAGCTTTTTTCCAACTAATTGGAGTCAGCTATTTGAATTTTGGTCCGTCGTTCTGTTCTATTAAGGACCGTACCTTAATTCAGGCTATTTGAGATCGGGTACACAAATTCTATTTCACTATATTTTTTATGAATTAATTTATTTAATTATGAAAATTATGTCCAACATACTCAAAATTTGATGAGAATGCTTCTATAATAATAAGCGAAATTTATCAAATTACACAACTTTTTAATTGTTTAACGTTGTACTCTTTTTTCTACTATTCCAACTCAAAATCATGATCCTTTCCATAGACATTTTGAAACTAAATCAAAACATATAGGTAGATTACTAATTAGTTCTTGCTTTAGGCTAATATTAAAGATTATGTAGAATTACTTCGGCGATATTTTAAATTTAGAATATACACATTATCTATTTATATACTATAAAAATGAAAAATGTTCACATAAGATGTCAACTTTATACTAAAGAAATAATACATAATAATACATTTTCTTAAAGGGGTGTAGTTTGTACAAGACGTCGACCTTAAACAATCAAAGCAAGGCACACCTCTAAACTACGTTGGAAGATACAATTTTGGTGTCCAAAACCATTATGATGATCTAAAAATATATTTCTACTCCTAATTTTAAAATTTAAAGCTCCAAAATAATGCAGATCGATCAAAACTATAAACGCTTGAAAACCTTTAAAATGAACGGTTCAGATAATGTATTATAAAATATAGTATTTTTACAAATAAAAATCCTTCTTTCCTTGTTTCCATATCCACAGTTCTTCCAACAGTCAACCAAACGACATTATTTTTAAAACCGGTTGTTACATATACTAGAATCAACAAAATCAGGTATTAAGAAAAACCCCGACTTTACGTATCCATGGATCCAAACGGACCCTTAAAGGAAGAAGTGCTAGAATCTTCTCATGCTTAGAGAGAGGGGTTTTTCAGGTTCCTGTGTATAGGCTTAATTTCATGTAGCATTAAACTTTTGCACGTGTGCAGTCGACAACATTAATGAAAGGACGCTCTCAGCATTCAAAAAACAAAGAAAATGGCCCCCACATTGAAATGATGAATACAACTACTCAATTCTCATATCTACGCATATTAAATGAATACAGCCTCATCCCTAAGTATAATAATATACAAATTCTTACACATAAAATGGGTAGAGAGAGGAGAGAGAGAGAGAAATTAATAATATACAAATTCTTACACATAAAATGGGTAGAGAGAGGAGAGAGAGAGAAATAATTACACATAAAATGGGTAGAAAGAGAAATATTTACATATGAAGCCTATCTTTATGATATGCTTTTTGTTTCTAAATGGTCCTAGAGAGAGAAAGAGATGTGCATGTATTTATGATTATTTGTTTCTCTCTCTATCAAACTGTACACAAGGCTTTGTCGATTCGTCAAAAGCCAAAAACCATGCAAGGCTCAACAATGATACAAAACAAGAACACGGCCAAAATCCAATAAAACGGCCCTGAAAAATCCAAAGCTTATCCTACTTTTATCAATAGCATAAGTGGCTTGAACTTGCCGGGGAAAAAGCAAGCTTTTGGAGCATTCATCTACAAGGCTTCTGAAATCTTGTGTGTCGATTTTCTCTCTCTAAGATCCTGTGGCTGAACTTTCTCTCTCTAAGATCCTGTGGCTGTAGTTTCTCTCTCTAAGATGGTGCTGGTCGTGTTTGATGAGAGACGATGGACGGTGATGGGGAGGCCCTTGGGGAAATCAATGAATGGGAAGGCCGTTGGGATATCTGGTTCTGTCACTTCCCATGTAAAATTGAGGACGAGGTGATGAATAAAAATGGCCATTTCAAGCTTGGCTAAATCTGCACCAGCACAGAGCCTCGGACCACCACCAAATGGCATGAAGTTACTACTGTTGTTGCTATCCTACAATCACAAACCATTTCTCTCTCATAAAAATATCTCTTCCTCCCAATGCTCTTTCCCTCTCTAGAACCTCTCACTGCAAATCCTCTTGCATTACAATCTACAAGTTTGCGTGAAGTTGTTACTTTTTCTATGTATAAATTGCCTTCCGGATGTTTTTCTATGGGCCTGGTTCAGTCAAAAATCATTTTAACTGTTAATTAAACTAAGCTTTTTTTAAAAAAATATTTAACGAAATAATAATTTATAAATATGAAATATATAAAATTTCCCAATTATAATTAACATGTGTAACTAATAAAAATAAGCAGATTCGACGAGCCAAAAACCAATCAAACTCTCTCGCTGCACATCCTATTCGACGAGTCCCTACCGAGTTTGTTGAAATGAAATCACAAGTTATTCTCCCTCCTCTCTCTTCTACGTAACTTGCGATGTGGTGAGACATGGAATCTCTATCTCACTATTATTATATTGAAAAAAGTTTATATAGGGTTGCAATTTTAATATGTAGAATTACATATGCGTCTCAAAAAATCTATCGGAAAAGGTTATTTTAATATTGAAAAACCCTCTAATTCATCATCTCGACATCGAGATGCATAAATATGGAAAAAAAAAAAAAAAAAATTTAGTCTTAAAAATAATACATCTTGTAACACATTGTCTAGGCCGTCCATTTTCAGGATTTTCACGTATTTGTAGATCTACTTGATTTTAACTATTTTTGAAATTTAAAATTATACAATTAAATATAAAAATAAAAATTTAAATTATCCTAAAAAAATTTATATCAAAATTACATATTACGATAAAATTTAAAAATGCGACTTAATTGAATTGTTTAAGGTGACAACCTTACATAAACCACACCCTATTATATTATCAGCTTGAAGTGAATCTCGACCTCCAAATCTCTCCTCTCTCTTTCTCTTCTCTTGTAAGTAGTTTCTCTCTCTAGGCCCACGAGTCACCATCTGCCGTTATATTACTAGCTTGGGTGAACCTGAAAATCTCTCTCCTCTTGTATGTAGTTACTCTCTGTAGATCCACGAGTCACCATCTGCCGTTATATTATGAACTTGGGTGAACCCGAAAATATCTCTCTAAAAATCTTTCTTTCTCTCTCTACCTTTGCCGTTATATTATAAACTTGGGTAAAAATCTCTCTCTAAAAATCTCTCGTTCTCTCTCAACCTTTAAGCGAGAGTTAGGCACTTGACATCATTATAGGAAACCTTAGCAGGATTGACTCGTCAAAAGAAGTGCAAAGGTGTTGCATTTTGAAGGACACATGTTGTACTTAAATTAATCCAAATTCATGATTGGAGATTATTATCCTATCCTAGGATGTTAAAAGCATTTAAAAAACTCACCCAATTTTATACTCGTGTCAAGAAAAAGCATTTTCTCTAAATTGAGAACTCATGGAATTTATAATTATTGTTAAAATGTTGTTGTGTATCTTTACGTACATATAACTTTATATGTTCATCTTAATTGAGCAATTGAGAGTTAGTCGAAATAATAATATAGGTTGGCAATCAAAGAGTTAACTAAAATTTGTTAAAACAGAAATAATATATGAAATTATTGTCAACTCATTCTGCTTTATAGTTAAAATCAAATTGGTCAATATTCAAATAGATATTTTATGGACACATAACAAAAGACTCATATTTGAATCTACCCTTCTCCCTCACATACACATAAAAATTAACCACCCATTCGCTCATTCTACGTCAAGCACCACCCGTACTCTCTCTCTCATATAAAAAATTTAACCACACATTTTCTTAGTCTCTAGTAAAAGGAAAAAATTTATATAAGGTTCCAACCTTATAAGAAGTTCAGTAGGAAAGAATGTTTTGAAGTTAAAAAAATCTTCCCATTGATTATCTGACCTTAATATGGATAGCCAAAAAATAAATAAATATATCTTATAACAAATTATTTGGACTGTCTATTTTCAAGCGTATATAGATCAGCATCGTTTGTAAAATTTTAAATTCCATTATTTTGAATATGGATTTTCAATTTATTACAAAGTTTCCAACACCAAAACTACAAACTTGCGGCAAAATTAGACACTTATATAAAATATAAATTGGCACCATATAGCAAATCCCCACTCTCCCTCTCTCTCTCTCTCTCTAAATTAACAACCCATTCATTTCTCAAGATTGCAAACGCCCTTCTCTCTCTCTAAACTTAGTTACCCATTTTTCAGAGTATGGCAAAACCCTACTTTCTCTCTCTCACTCTCACTCTCTAGGAATATAGTGAAGCACTGTATTTAAATTCAACCACGTTTCATTCATAGTGATGTTATTGTGTGCATTTTCCTACTGACCTGCCATCTCCAAGGATTAAAATGATGGGGTTTGTGGTGGTTGAGAGGGTCCAAATGCACTGCTGCAAAGACAGGAAGAACTTTCCACCCTCTTGGTATGTCGTACCCTGCTTTTCACAACAATACAAACAAACCGTCCTTACCATACTCAAATCCCTCTCTCTCTCATGATATTTCTCTCTAATATATCTGTCGTTCACTCTCTCTCGCTATAAATCCTCTATATCTCTCTATGAATCTCTCTCTTGATCGGTCTCTCTCTCTCTACGAATCTCCCTCTCTCCCTCTCTCTCTCTCTATGAGAGCAAATAATTGATCGACCAACCTTTGAATTGAACGTTGCAAAGCGCCTTGCGATGAACAAACTGAACAACGTTTCCAAGTCGAAGAGTTTCATTGATAACCTTTAAGAATTAAAAAGAAAAAAAAAAAACAAAGAAAGAGTGAACAAATTCATACTTTTGCTCTTGGTTATTTGTGGAAAAAATCCATATATTATTACTAAATCCTTATAAGAAATAATATACTTACACTATGTGTAAACTCCATCCTCTTGTAGTCTTCCCAATTAAGGCCACTGGATTCTCCTTTCTCTCTCTTCTCTCTAGCTATTCCCATATGCTCCTCCTAAAAAGAATTAAACCAAATTAATATGGCTGCTGTTTGTATAGAGCCGAGGCTCTAAACAATCAAATTAGAGCCTACCTTCAAATAGTATCAAAAAACATAATTTCCATACTAAATTTTTTTGTGATATCCTTAAAATATATTTTTCATCTTTAATTATAAAATTTAAAGCTTAAAAAATAGTGTATGTCGAGCATATCTATGAAAACTTGAAAATTGGCCGTCAAAAAATGTGTTACAAGATGCACTATTTCCACACCATTTTTTCTCATATCCATGCATCTTGATGTTGAGATGATCAATTTGATGGTATTTGTGCATCAAAAGAACTCCTTATAGTGAAGTTTTTGAGGTAGGCTCTAATTTGATTGTTTAAATCCTAGGCTCTATAAAAACTTTTCTTAATAAATATAGAAAAGAAAACCATTCTTTCTCAATATTTTCCTTTTTATTTTTCAATAAAACCATTATAATAAAAATAATATGGAAAGCTCTAAACAACAAACTAATATTATTAGAATTCAAACTTTCAGTATTTTTTATCTCTTTTTTTGTTGGGTTTTACCTGTAATTGCTCAATTGCTCTAGGGCATCCATCTAAGAAGTACATGGCCATGGTTATGGCCACTGTAGAGGTTTCATGGCCAGCAAATAAGAGGCTTAGTATTAAATCAAGAATTTGTTCACTTGAGAGATCAGATTGCTTCATGACCCATCCAAGAAAGTCTTCTTCTTCCTCTATTTCTGGTTCTCTTCCATTTGTTCTCATTTTCTTCTCTTCCATCTTCATCTCAAGGACTCCAAGAATGGTCTTTCTAGACTGCACCATCAATGGAAAATACATAAAATAAAAAACAATTACATATCATATGGGTTTTAAATTTTCTTCAGAGTGAGTTTGATTTATTTATTTACCTGTAAGGCTCTTCTATAAGATGTTCCAGGCAAATTGATAGGTGCTGATATAACTCCTTTCATGAAAGTAATGTACTCTCTCTTGAGGCTTTCAGTTTCTGGCTTACCAGGTTTCATGCTCACTATGTTTTCAGCCATCAAATTAAATGTAAACTGCAAAACAAGATTTTTTATATTCAGTTCCCTTATTCAAAATTCAAATTATCAATTAAATGGACAGATTATCAAACTAAAGAAAAAAGGCAAGAGAATTCAATCCTGGGTTATGAGTAGGTAAAATTAGAAGACTAAAGAAAAAAATTTGGATTTAAATAGATAAGAGAATTGAATATTTGATTATGAGAAGGTCACGTCTTTTTTAAGGGATGAATGTTCAGTTTGTATATCCAAGAGAGAGAGAGAGAGAGATAGATGGGTTCCTTAATTAGTGAACACCCCAAAAAACTACCACCTTCTTGAGAGAGTGAGCAGATGGGCGCCTACCAACTGAGAGAGAGAGAGTGAGAGAGATGGGCTGATTCATTACACCATTTTTAGAGGGAGAGAGAGAGATGGACTCCTTAATTACACCATTTTTGAGAGAGAGAGAGAGAGAGAGAGAGAGAGAGAGAGAGAGAGAGTAGAGAGAGAGAGGAGGAGGGAGGAGGTAGGTAGGTTGGTAGTACGTAGTTACTTACTACGTCGTACTC